CTTGGCAGTCTATGGGATATTAAGTACTCTTCTCCAACACCAGAATTCAAATGCAAAAACTCTTCTATCTTCTTTATTCATTGTCCAGCTGTCAGTTGCATATCAAATGGTTGAAAAGACCAAGGACTGAATCAGGTGCACTTTAGTCTATAAGTTAATTTTTCTTCAGAATTTTGGAATTCTGACAGCAGAATTGCCCAGTGCAATTATCTCCTGACTGCTAGCACCAAGGGTAGTGATTGCTGATCCAAGCAAGATACAGTTACTGACAGCTTCAGTCCTTTCTCCATCTATAGTGACCCAGTGGTGAGGGTCTTTGTTTTCTTGATGTTGAGATGTAATCCATCTTGAAGGTGGTAGTCCTTGATCTTCTGAAACGAGCATTTCAAGTCCTCCTCACTTTTCAGCAAGCAAGGTTGTGTCATCTGCGTAACACAAGCTGTTGCGTGAGTCTTCTTCCAATCCATATGCCACATTCCTTTTCATAGAGTCCAGCTTCATTAATTACTTGCTCAACATACAGACTGAATAGGGTTGGAGAAAGGATACACCCCTGGAGCACATCTTTCCTGATTTGATGGAACACAAATATTAGAAGTTTTCAGAAAAATCTTAGATACAGCTAAACAAAATCACAATAGCAAGTGGTTAAATTCATTCAAATTAGAGAGGTCTGGTGGCCTAGTGGCAAGAAGCTGCACTGCAATCCTGGAGGTATGTGGTTTGAATCCACCAGATGCTCTGCTGGAGAAGGAGGGGCAATCTCCTCCTGTACCAGTCAGATCCCATTTGATGGGACACACACACACACACACATAAAAATAAATTCATTCAAATTATAAAACTAAACCAAAGCCATTAGGACTTGTAGGGCAATGAAAAGGCTGACAGGTGCACACCTAGGCGATTACTCTCTGTGCAGAAAGGCCCACTCTCCTGCTTGGAGTCACTGATCCAATAGAAGAAGAGAACATGTGAACTAAGAGCAATAGTACATGTGTAAATAGGCTCTGGCTTTCCTTGCCACGTGAAACACAATTACATTTTACAGAAGTGTTTGTTTTCTACACACTTGGCTTGACAGTTCAAACTGTCTTCCTGTTTTTCCATCAGCATTCACATTTCCTTGATTTGAAGGACTGAGTCAAAGTTGTAGATTCAGCAAATATGTGCTGCTATTGATGCTGGAGCTCTAGTGCCTAGTGGCAAGAATCTGTGCTTCCATCTCAAAGGCACATGGTTCAAGTTCACCAGCTGCTCTGCAGGAGAATGGCCCATTTCCTCCCATGTGATTAACTGTCTCTTAATACCTGCTGGAGGGTCACCTATGAGTTGGTTCTAACTGGATGGCACTAAAAAAAAACGCCAATAACATTGATACTAGAGATGTATCACCTAAACCTCTCCTAAATGGACGGGCAGGCTGTGCCTCCTAAGTGCTGTCAGCCCTGACGGCTGCCCACCTGGTCAACCCCGAGGGCACAAGTGGTCAGGAAGGTGCCTACTCACTGAAGCTTCTGCAGTCTCTTGGGCTTGTAACCATAGCCGAGAGTGACTTCTACAGCCAGCCTCCTGGAACGCAGGGGTTACACAAGAAGAGTCACTCCCCTGATGCCCAGTAGGTTGTGGCTAACAGGGGGCAGAGATTGTAAATTTCTTGTCCGTCATGAGGAAATTGCTGGTGTGGATGCCCCTGCAGCCTGGCTTCCTGCACTGACCCAACAGCTGTTCTTAAAGGCTGGCCTATGCTGGCTCCATATTTGGTGTTTTCATTAAGTTTCTTCCTTTATGCAGTATTTTAACTACCTCTTTTCCTTTTAAACGCAGGGTTCTAGAATTCTAATCTGTGTCTGTAATCTTTGTTTTCTGGTGTCTTTGTTAAGGGAGTTCTGGGCTGCTGCCTAGTCTGCCATCTTACTCGGAAGTCCCATCCTGTGAGTAGAGGCCAGGGCTGCTGCCAAGGATCTCCTGGTGGACATGACAGCACCCACAGCAATCACTGGCCCCAGATGGCAGCAGGTTCATCTGAGACACCGTGGTCTACATTGATTTTGTCTCATAAGACAAACTGCTCCAGAAGACCAGGGAAAAAAATCAGACAAGATTTTAAATACCCCATAGCACTGAACTGGTGCGGGCAGAAAAGGGCACATAGTCAACTCTGGGAAAAAAAATTTTATCCATCTTTCATTGGCCACTTTATGACTTCTAAAAATTCAATGTTGCAAAATGTAACATTAAAAATTCCATTTTTTAAAAAAAATTTCACTTTTAAAATTTAAACTTTTCCAAAGCAAGTTATGCCACGTCCAAGTGGGGAGCCCTGTACAGAGTTTGGAGGAGTTGAATAAATGGCACCATAAGTTGAAACACTGGCCTGCAGTAAGAGGCCCACCTGCCAGGGGTACAAGCTGAAAACTGAGCAGGCGTGAAGGCCATTCTTCAGTCCGACTTGGGGCACTTGCAGGGCTCTGTTGCATGGCGAGCAGTGGGCCACACCTCAAACTCACTGCTGCTGAGTCAAGTCCATCTCACAGCTCTCATAGCAACGGGCTTCTGAGGCTGCAAATCTCAACTGGAGAAGATGGCCCATCTTTCTCCCAAGGAGCCAATGATGGGTTCAGACAAGCAGACAAGCAGTGCAGCACACATGCCACAAGAGCCCCACAAGGAAATTAGAAACCTTCACAAACTCTAGGCCAAGCAACCTCCCCTGGGACCCGGAGCTGGGCCACCTCATGTGAGAGCAGCTGGTTATCTTTTCTATCGTGAATATTATCACAAGTTAAGGAGATGAGGAGTCCCTGGGTGGTGCAGAAAGTGAAAACTCAGCTGCTAAGTGAAAGGTTCAAGTCCAGCAAGAGGTCCTGGAAGGAAGGCCTGGCGATCTGGAGACCGTAAGGTCCTGCTCCGACACTCGGGGCGTCATCATGACTCCAATCAACTCCAGAGCATGTGGTGCTCAGATAAAGACCAAGAGACATCCTCGTGGTTATCCTGGTGCTGCTATAACAGAAATGTTCCACATGGAGACCTTTAACAATCAAGTTTATTCTCTTAGAGTTCAGTGATGATACATCTAAAGTCAGGGTTCCTGCACCAGGGGAAAGGTTCTTGAGGAAGGTCTTTGCTCCCTCAAGCACCTGTAGCTCCAGCATTTCTTCGAGATCTCTGTGTGTCCTTCCCATGGTGAGTTTCCCAAAACAAGGCCTTGGTCTGAAGGATGTGCTCCATTCCTGGCTGTTCTAGGTGCTACTGAGGTTTCCTTTCTGTTCAACTCTACTCTCCTTTTATCTCTCATAGGAGGAAGAATGATGTAGGCCACACCCCAGGGAAATTCTCCTTTCATCAGATCCCACGTGACCTAATTAGGTATGTTGCCTCCCATCCCAATCTCCTTACAGGTGATTGGCTGATCGTATCACGTCATAGAGAATGATGGCATCATTACATCACTGCTTCCTGATAGCACAAGAAGTTATGCTATTTGACTAAGGTGTCCCCAAGATCACAGTTCCAACCCTTGTAACCCAGTGAGCCAATCTTACAGGTTGTTTGGACATCTAGGAAGCTTCTGTAAATATGCCCCAATGTCTGTTAGATAAGATACAGCCAGAGTGCTCCTTAGAGGCAAAGGTGATAAAGTTTTTTTCTTATATACTTTGGACGTGTTGCTATGAGAGGCTGTTCCTTGGAGGGGGATATCATGCTTGGAAAGGTGGATGGTTGGTGAAAGAGAGGAAGATTCCAGCCAGATGGATTGACACAATGACTGCAGTAATGGGCTCAAGTGTGTCAGATTTTGTGAGGATGGCACAGAATAGGACAGGATTCAGATATGTTGTTCAGAGTCACTGTGAATTGTACTTGACTCTACAGCACCTAACAAAAGTAATAATCTGCAGCACAAACGTGTATATACACATGCCCAGAGACACATGCAGATGTGTTTATTCACCCTTTCTGCCCACATAAATGCTTTCACATGTATTTACACAGTTGTTTTTACTAATTTCAAAATTATATATGCTACAGCACTTACCATATAGTCTTTTTGTCATGTACTTTTTAGTTTTTGAGACCTGATGTCTGAATTCACAAAATCAGCTCGAGGGGGAAGTTTTTCCTCTCTGTTGGCTCTGAAGAAGGTCCTTGTCTTTTTCAACTTTTGTGGGCCCAGCATTCCTTGGAGCTTCTTGACAACAATTTTCTCCTGGGTCTAGAAGGCCCTCAGCAAAGGGACACTGGATCCAAAGGATCAGCTCTACTCTCAGTCCTTCCTTCTTGGTGGTAGCCAGCACCCTCCTATCTGTTCTGACAAGATAAAAGCTGTACTTCAAGCAAGTGTGTAACTTGATAAAAGACATGAGTTGGGAGATAACCCATTATAAACCTCCTCCATTAACATCTGGAGGTTAAGTGATACAACACATATCTCAAAATGGAGAATAACCACAAAATGCTGGGAATCAGCCTAGCCTGCTGACACATATTTGGAGAGAACAAAAATAATCCATGACACTCCACATACTCTGGGAAGTTGTTTCTCATGATATCACACTCCAAGTCAGTGGGTCAAGAGTCATTCACACCCCTTTCTCAACCCTAGGAAACACAAAACATGTGCATTTATTTGTGGACAAATTTCCTGAAGTTTCTCAGAAAACAGAAATGAGGGAATCAAAAAGAGTGACTGCAATGTAGCAACACTGACCAGAGAAACGGATCATCCTAACTGATGATTAATTTGTTCCCATTAAATTATTGCTACCTCATTTAGTATAATAAAAGATATACTATGACATTCCAAAAAACACCCAAATAAATGTAAAATAAAAAAATATTCTCATTAGCATTCATTAACTAGCAATAAATTATCTCTCTTTAAAATCCTTTCCATTATTCACAAAATTCACCCTTATTGTCCAAGTTAACAAGGCTGAATTTTCAAAGTGCAATAAAAATTCTTGAGGCCTTTGCTTCAGGTTAGATGGGACTTCTTAGTGGTTTCCAAGACACAGTTTCTTGTGCTGGTGTTGGTCTTCATTCTGAGGCATGGACCTCAACATTCCATCTAGAAGTCAAGAAGAAACACCAGGAGAATGTCAGTTTAAAATACAGGTTATTTGTTTCAGCCATGAGGGTTCAAAGAGCAAAACAAGACTAAAATTAAAGGAATATTCAATTTATCTTCTACTTCTTTAGGGTTGAAGAGATCCTAGAATGGATTTTCAGGTAATGGAGTAGTAACTGACCTTTTACAAACTCAATTCACTTAACAACGAATCATAAACGTTTTTAGTCCTGAATAAACCAAAACATGACTACTCTTTAGGGAGTCTGTTTAAGGCATGCAGCTGCTAAGAGACCAGAGGCTTGAATGCCCCCAGAGTCCCCTCAGAGGAAAAGCCTGGAGAACCACTTCCTTTGTGTAAAACCGACAGTGCGCAGTCCCGTTCACTCTGACGCAGAATACGTTGCAACTGACATAACAGCTACTGGGCTCCTGTCTGATCATGTTTTGTTTTCTACATGGGTAGCCAATTCCCTAGCACCACGTGCTAGTGTGTTCTCCCTCCTATGATCTGCATTGTCATCTCTGTCATATAAAAGTTTCATCCACACATCTGTTTCTGGATTTTGTGTTCTGTCCCATGGTTCTATCAGAGCCAAGCTTCAAAGACATCACTTAACATGGTTTTTAACATTAAAGGGAAATCTCCCATGTTAATTTTTTTCCAGCAAAGCAGTAGTTCTTCTGCATATCATTAATTATAACATGTAGTATTCTTATTATCATTTACTTAGAAATAGTTTTATACCTTTACTATATTTTTTTCTTTGACAGTTACTTAAACAACGTGTTCTTATATAAAATCGGTAGGTTTTATAAGTTGAGTTTTCAACTGTTGATTTTAACTTGACTGTTTTGTGATCAAACAACCAGGTCTGGATATACTGATTCTTTAAAAATTATAAAGAAAGGAGCTCTGGCGGCCTAGTGGCAAGAAGATGTGCTGCAATTTTAAAAATGATAAATATTTGCCTCATGGACTAATTTATTTAATGTGCAAATTTGTCTGAAAAAAAATATGTTTTCTCAATGTATTTGGTACATGTCCTATGTTATTGTTAGGTGCCATCGAATTGTCTACAACTCATAGTGACCCTATGAACTCAGGTCTGAAACTTGCCTCATCCTGATGCTTGAGCCCACTGTTGCAGTCTCTGTGTCAATGCATCTTACTGGGGGGCATATATGGTTTTATGGAGCTCTGGTGGTTTAGTAGTAAGGAATTGTTCTGCCAGCCTAAAAGCACAGGGTTCAAGTCTACCAGCTGCTCTGTGGAAGAAAGATGCACAATCTCTGAGCCATTCTCACAATCGCTGGTATGCTCAAGCCCACTGTTACAGTCACTGTGACAGTCCATACTCTCGAGGGTCTATACTGATCCAGTATATCAGGTTTTGTATTTGTATTGTCCAGACCTATAACATACGTACTAATATTTCTGTCTGACTAACTGATCAATCATTGAGAATGATGTGCTAAAATGGATAATTGTGATGTGCTTATTAATCGCAAAATAATTTGCTATATAGTATTTATACTAAATACATATCTGTTCCATACTATTGTAGAATTATTATAGCTACCTGGTGATTTAACATAGCTACTCTACCAGTCTTCTGCTGGCCTAGCATTTACACTGTTCCAGGCCAGACAATTTGTTTTCTATTTCCCATAGCAAGCATGTTTGCTCTATATTTGTATACTTGCTTGTTTTACGGTTTGCTCTTATGGGCACAGCACTTATTTGTTTGTGTGGATGTATACTTGCTTGTTTATACTTTGATCTTATGGGTATAACATTTGTCTGTCAGTTTGCTGTACTGAAGTGACTTGCAAGTTGCTGTGATGCTGAAAGCTACACCATCAGTATTTAAAATATCAGTAGGGTCATCTATGGTGGACAGTTTTTGGTGGAGCTTCCAGAAAGAGCCAGACTAAGAAGCAGGGCTGGCCATACACTTCTGAAATAAAAGGCCTTAAAAATTCCTATGATCAACAGAGGAATACTGTTTGATATAGTGCTGGAAGTAAAGCCCTTCCCAATAGAAGACACTGGAAAAAAGAGGACTTACAGCTGGAAACATTAATAAATGGAATGTACAATGAATCCAGAAAAACTGAGTTCTAAAAAAAGGAAATGAAACATAAACAGATCAGTATCCTAGACATTAGTGTACTAAGGTGAACTTGTATCAGCCACTCCGAATCAGACAGTCACATGATATCTTACGCTGGGAATGACAAATTTAAGAAGAATTATGTTTCATTAATACTCAAAGAGAATATTTTAAGATCTATGCTGAAATATCATATGATTCATATGCATACAATAAGACCTACTAACACAACTATTATTCAAATATATGCACCACTAAAGCCAAAGCTGAAGAAACTAAGGATGACTTTCAACTTTTACAGTCGGAAATGGTTCAAAAATGTAACCAAGATGCATTAATAACAATGGTGACTGGAACACATTAGATGGAAACAAACAAGAAGGACTGTTACTTGGAAAATATGAACTTAGAGACAGAAATAATGCTGGAGATAGAATTTTGTACAATAACTGATTTATTCACTGCAAAAATAGTTTTAAAAAGCATAAATGGCAACTATACACATTGACGTCACCATCACCTAATTAACTCCAAAGAAATCAGACTGACTACATCTGTGGAAAGAGTTGATGGAGAAGCTCAATATCAGCAGTCAAAACCAAGCCAGGTGCTGACTGTAGAACAGAGCATCAGTTACTCATGGGCAAGTTCAAATGGAAGCTGAAGAAAATGAAAACAAGTCCGTGAGAAACAAAATATGACCTTGACTCTATATCCCAACTGAATGCAAAACCCATCTCAATCCATTGAACACTAATTACTAAATATCTTGTGAGCTGTGAGATGATATTAAGGATTTCACCCATGAAGAAAATAGAAGGTCATTCATTACAAAGACACAAATGAACAAAAAATAGTAGATAAGAAAAAGACCAAAACGGATGTCAGAAGACACTCAGAAAACAGCATTAGAATGTAGAGAGGCCAAAACAAAGTGAAGAGATGCTTAAGTGAAAGAGTGGAACAGAAGATTATAAACACCAACTTGAGGAGAGTATTATAACAAAATATGTGAAGAACTGAAGTTATAAAAATCAAAAGGAAAGAACACACTCAAAATTTCTTAAGCTAAAAGAACTAAAGGACAAATTCAAGGCTTGAGTTTCAATAATTTTGAACAATGCAGGAAGCATCACGAGAAGATGGAAGGAATATATAGTATCAGTGTACCTAATAAAATGGTTGTCACTGAATCATTTCAGGAAGTATATGATCAAGAGCCAATGATAATGAAGAAAGACATTCAAGCTGCACTGAAGATACTGGCAAGAAACTGACCCCAGGAATTGAATACCAATTGAGATGTTTTAAGGAACAGATGCAGCCCTGGATGTGCTCACCAATCTATGACACGAAATCTGGAGGACTGTTACATCGCCAACTGAGTGGAAGATATCTTGATTTGTTCCCATTCCAAAAAAGGTGACCCAACAGATGTAGAGATTGTAGAACCATACCCTTAATATCATACACAAGTAAAATTTTGCTGAAGATTACTTATTTTAAAAGGCTGGAACACAAACACATGAAGAAATGTTCAAAATCCCTAGCTCTAAGAGAGATGCAAATCAAAACAACGATGAGATACCATCTCACCCCAGTAAGAATAGCAAAATTTAACAGAACAACAAACATCAAATGCTGGCGAGGTTGTGGAGAAACTGGAACCTTATTCACTGTTGGTGGGAGTGTAAAATGGTGCAACCACTATGGAAGGCTGTATGGCGCTTTCTCAGAAAGTTGCAAATAGAAATACCATTTGATCCAGCAATACCATTACTGGGAATTTACCCTAAACAAACCATAACTGCCACCCAAGCAGATATATGCACACCCATGTTTACTGAGGTTTTGTTTGCAATAGCAAAGAGCTAGAAACAATCCAAGTGCCCATCAACAAATGAATGGATAGAAAAGCTCTGGTATATTCACACAATCGAATACTATGCAGCACTGAAAAACAAAGAACTCATGAAATATTATGTAAAATGGATGACCCTGGATGACATTAGGCTGACTGAAATATCTTAGTCACAAAAGGACAAATATTGCATAGGGCAACTGTTGTAAAATGGGACTGACATCAGGGTTGAGGAAAGACAGAAAAGGAGGGGAGGAATGATGTCTATTGCATTAAAACAGATAAGGGAGAGATCTGTTTAAAAGGGATATATGAATGGGTATTCTTCTCATTACAGAAGTCCAGAGTGAAGGCTGCATAGTGGAGTGAACTTGGGGGGAGGGATTACATAAAAATGAAAGAGTTTTTCTTTTTCTTTTCAAGGAGAAAAGTGATTTGGGGGGAGGGGTGGGCAGGGATAAAAGTGCAACAATGAATGACTGGAAACCCTAAGTCTCTGTAAACATTCATTAAAATTAATTTTTTTAAAAAAGGCTGGAACAGTCCATCAATAGACAACTGTCAGATATATGAGATAGACTCAGAAGAGGCTGTTCCATGAAGGGTATTATGGCTGATATCAGTTGGATCTTGGCTAAAGTAGAGAATACCAGACAGATATTTATATTTTATTGACTATAAAAAAGCATTTTACTATGTGTATCACAGCAACTAATGTACAGCACCGAGAAGAATAGGAACTCCAGAACATTTAACTGTGCAAATGTAAAACCTACACCAAGACCAAAAAGCAGTTGTCTGAACAGAACAAGGGAATGTAGCATGGTTTAAAATAAAAAAACCCTATCTGTCAGGATTGTATCCTTTCTCTGTACCTATTCAATTTGTATGCTGAGCAAATAATTTTATAAGTTGGACTGTATTAAGAATGTAGCATTAAGTTTAAAGGAAGATTCATCAACAACCTATGTTATGCAGATCATATAACCTTGCTTGCAAAAATTGAAGATTTGAAGCTCTTACTGCAGAAAATCAAAGACTAATATCTTCAAATTGGATTCCATCTCGAAATCAAGAAAACAAAAATCCTTGCCACTGGACCAATAGTCATCATCATGATAGATGGGCTGAGGCTGTCAATTATTTCATTTTACTTGGATCCATTATCAACATGCATAGTAATAGCACTCAAGAAATCAAAAGACGTGTTGCATTGGGAAAATCAGGTGTCAAGGACTTCTCCAAAGTGCTAAAGAACAATGAAGTCAGTTTAAATACTAAAGTGCACCTAATCAAAGCCATGGCATTTTCCATTTCTTCCTATGCATCTCAGAGTTTGACACAGAATCAGGATAATACTATGCATCGTGTAGGAGCAAAGATTTTGAAAATTACTATCTAACTTGGGAGGGACTGGAGAGCATTATGCTAGGTGAACTAACTCAGTCCCATAAGGACAAATACTATATAAGAACATTACTATAGAATGTGTATCAGGGTGCAAGGGGGTAGGAACAGAGTGGTGAGGATGGGAGGGGAGGTGGTTAATCACAAGGTGGTACAATTTGATGGGTAGAGGGAGAAGTGGGTAAAGGAAACGAGAACAATCTGGTGAGAAAAACAATGTATATGAACTTTGTAAGAAAACCAGGATAAAATAAAACTTTTATTTTTCAATTAAAAAAAAAAGAATAAGGAGATAGAAGAAGAATTGATGCCTCTGAACTATGGTGTTGTAAAAGAGTACTGAATATCCCATGGACTGCCAAAAGAACAAACAAGTTTGTTTTGGAGGAAGAGTAACCAGGGCACTCCTTGGAGCTATTGCTCCATCTCTACTAATTCCCCCAGCAGCTCTGAGTGAGAAAGATGGCCAGTCTCCTCTCATTGTGATTTCCAGCCTTTCAAGCCCCCTAGAGGATGGCTGAGTGGGAAGCAACTTGATGTTAGTGAGTTTCATTTTGAGTACTAATTCTACATATTCCTTTCCTAAATGCCCCATGTTTCATTTTGGCTTAGAAGAACATTTCTGTTTACTAATTCATGTAAGAATATTTTATAAAGTCACCATGTGCTGGAGAAGAGTCTTGGACATACCAGTGACTGCCAAGAAAACAAATAGGTCTGTCTTGGAGAGGGTGAAACCAAGTTTCTCCTTTGAGACTAGGATTTTTGAAGCTCCGTCTCACTTTGGGAACATGCCCAGGAGAGATCAGTCTTTGGAGAAGAACATCATTCTCAGAAAGGGTGGACGGACAGCACAAGAGAGGGAGAACCCAGATGAGATGGATCAATACAGTAACTGGGGCAATGTATGTTGGTGTGTCAGAATTAGTGACACTGGATCAGGACAGGGAAGGGTTCAGAGCTGCTGTACATAGGGTCACTATACATCGCAGGGGACTCAATAGCACATAGCAACAAGAACATACTATGACAGGTTTGAAAGCAGAATAGCATCCATTTCCTAAATAACATCCCTCTGGAAACGCAATATACTATGATACATGGCAATAGTTATAGAGAGTCTTCAGGTCTTTCGTTCATAGGATCACTATGAGTCATGCTCGACTAGAAGACACTCAACAACAACAACAACATTTGTATGGAATGGCAAAGTCAATAGGAGAAATTACTAATTAGTACTTTTCTTAAAATGTAGCATAATAGCAGATACACAAATGTTTGTGAACAAATTGCATGGCAAAAATGTAATCTGCAAAAGGACATGTTCCATCTTTAACCACAACATTTTTGCCACCTAATAATTAAAACTGACTATCTTAAGGCCGGTGCCAACAAGAAACTTGTAAATACATACTTTCTTTCCTTTCAGGTTCAAGTTGTTCAAGATCATAAGTTCTGGATGGAGTTCGCTGCCACTGTAAGAGAGCACATGTATTTATATGTTTAAAAGGACTGAGTAACAGTATTCTATCACTTCATCTTAAAAATTTTATACTTGTTTACATACAAAATTCATATATACATACATAGTGTTTCACATATTCCTGCATTTATATTTTGTTTCATACATTCTCATCCATTGTATTTTATAAAATTAATCACATTAATTTGTCTGCCATCGCCCTATCTTTTCAGATTCTCAATAGAATTAGTATTACTTCATTTTTAAAATACCAAACCAGCTTATAAAAAAAGTAAGAAAAAGAAGTTAGAATGTCCATATCGACAAAGTCCTAACAATGCCCTCATGAATGCTGGTGAATATGATTCGGGATCAGAACCAATGCTCTTACAGAAGGAAAGACCTTCAAGATCTTGTATGTTCATCTTATAGGCAAAGAAGTAGAAGACTTGCCCACAGCTACATATGAATAAAAGGCAGTGATGGGTGTAGAACTTGAGTCTTCCCATGTCCATGCACAGTGGACAGACTCTACCATGTGACAGTGTATCTACAGGACCCACAGGACTTTATAATAACAAGAAAGTAGGATATTAAAGAAAGAAAAGATGACCAAGATTACCTCATCTTTTAAAATCGTTATTACAGTGAAAACTGTGACGGCTGGAGGAGTGGACTGCCTCCTTTTTCCTCCTCTCACAAGCTTGCACCTTTGACAAGTCATTCCACTTTGTCTCTTTTAATGGAAAATGTCTGAGTTTTCCTTTTCTGGTACATTTCTGACTTACACAGGTTTTATGTTATATTATAGACTTCTATCCTGTCTTGTTAAATGGTGACATAGTGGGTAAGAAGTTGTGCTGTCACCAGCTGCTCTGAGGAAAGAAGATGGGCAATCTCCTTCTTTATGATCTACAGCCTCTAAAAAACCTGCTGGAGAGTCAGCTATGAGTTGGTTCTTACTGGTTGACAATGAGTGACTGAGTATCATGCTAAAGAATTTCTCTGATGGTGATTTTTTATCTCAACCATTTGGAAAGAAAAAGAGAAGTGAAAAGATTCTCAGATGCTTTAGGTAATGAAAGAGAAAACTAAGAAAAAGCGAGTATAACTATTATCTCATAGCACAGTCCTTGCTTTCTAGAAATTTAGCTAGAAATTCCCTTCATTAGGAATACAGATTCAGCTAAATGGGTCTGGAACATCCCATGAAAGATGAGCCTCTCTTCATATACATATGAATATGTCAACCAATGAAGAGAAATAAAAAGCAAATCTCAAGGGAGAATGGAAAGATTATGAAAGAAATATGGTTAAGAAATGATTAAGTACTGAGAAACAATTTTAACTAAAATTCACATTTTCTTTCAAGTGTCAAATTAATCTTAGAAGGGCCTCGATCTTGTGTTCTGCCTCTGCAATGTTCACCACTTCAACATGTATCAATGAGTGATATTTATGAATACACACCCAGCCAGTAAGGTGAAGTCTCTCAGAAGTTCCAAGAGTGGGGAAGGCATATATATAATTTAAAATCTCCTCCTCCTCCCATCCCACATATCTCTGTGAAATATGGCATGTGAAATGAAATTTTTAAAAAAGGGAAGATATACACATCCAAATCAGAAAGGCTGCTAAGAACAAAAAAAAACAAACAATGGCAGATATTAAGAAGGAAAGGATCAATATATTTGACCACAATAAGTTGTATAATTTCTATATTTTTTTAAAAAAAACACCAAACCAAACATGTAATAACAATGGTAGAAGACAGAGAGCTTTCATCCCCTTGAGAATGGGAATACGACAGAGACACTCCCTGTCACCACTTTTATTCAACATTATACTGGAAGTCCTATCCAGGGCAGCAAGGCAAGAAAGGAAAACAAAGAGTCCCCAGATTAGAAAATAAGAAAGAAAACTAGCTCTATTCACAGGTGACATGTCCATATTATAGAAAACTAATGGGTAAGAAGTTGCACTGCCAACCCAAAGACAAATAGTTCAAGTCCACCAGCTGCTCCAAAGGATAGCAATCTCCTCTCGTGCAATTTACCACATCTGAAAACCCACTAGAGGGTCAGATATGAGAAGGTTCCAACTCTATGGTACATAACAACAATAAACAACATATTAGAAAAATCTCAGAAAGGAAGGCACATCTTATCAATTTAGCAAAGATAAGATCAACTCACACAAAAAATTTTACACTAAGAATGAAACTTCAAAAAGGAGATGAACAGTGCCAATTATAATTGTCCTCAAAAGCATAAATTACCTAGAAATGCACCTAAACAGGTAGGTAAAACACTTTTACAAAGAAAATTAAAAAGACAAAAAAAGAGACATAGAAAAATGGAAGAACATTCCATACTCATGGACTAAAAGTTAATATTGTAAAAATGTCATTACTATCTTAATCTATAGATACATCTATATTATGCAATGCTGATTCAAATTCTAACACCATTCTTTAGTGAAATGAGATATTGAAAGACTCCAAATAACCAGAGCAATACTGAGGAAGAACTAAGTAGGCGGTCCCACACTTCTCAACGTCAAAATGCACAATTTTCAAAGCACTCATTGTCGCCGAGTTTCACCCGACTCACAGGTGCCACTACACTGGGTTTCCCAGGCTGTAAATCACACAGGGGATTGCCCATCTTTTTTCCATGGAGCCACTAGTGGGTTTGAATCATCAGGGAAGTGTGGACTTTGGGTTAGCAGCACAACTCTGTACCGAATATGCCACCAGAATTCACACAGTGATCAAAACAGACTGGCATGGTTCCACATCAGACCAATGCAATAGGATTAAGAACCCAGAAGTAAACCCATCCATCTATGGGCAGCTGATTTGAAACATGAAACCAGAGAAACAGTCTCTTTAACAACAACAACAACGACAAACAACAATAACAGAAAAGTCACTGCTGTCAAGCCTGCTCTGACTCACTGGATTTCTGGGATTATAGAGCACAATGGGAAGTCTGCCCATCTTTCTGTCAAGGAGCCGCTGGGGATTTCAACTGTCAGAGAAGCACAGCCTTTGTGTTAGCAGTGCAAGTTGCAACACAGCACTTGCTATGATGCCAGAGCTCACTACTAGCAAGACTGGATACCATTTACAGAAAAATGAAACAGGCTCCATACCTCACATTAAACAAAAGCTAATTAAAATTGGGTCCCAGATTTAAATGTTAACGTTAAATACATATAGTTCCTAGAGGATAATATAAGGGCAAAATTATGGGGCCTAATTTTCTTGGAAAATTTGTACAAGGACAAATTAGATAAGTTTGTTGTTGTTGTTGTAAGGTTCTACTGAGTCAAGTACAACTCATAGCAGCCCTATGAACAACATACCTGAACCCTGTCCTAACCTGTGCCATCCTCATCATTCCTGACACACCTTAGCTCACTGTGGCAGTCACTGTGACAATCCATCTCATTGGGGGTCTTCTCTTTTGCTGACCCTCCATCTCTCCAAGCATGATATCCCTTTCCAAGGAATAATCTCTCCAAGCAATATACTTAAAACTTAAACACTTACTTGTACTCATCAGAAGGTATATCAAAAAAGGAAAAAGTGATCCTATAGACTGGGAATAAATCTTTGGGGGAAAACCTTGTATGATTAGTAGCTAATCTCTAAAACATAGAAAACATCAACATCTCAGACATCACAAAAATTGTTCTTATGTGCCTCGGAATTGAGTACAACTAACAGCAACCCTAGGGATAACAGATGTGACCTTGTCCTATCTTGGGCCATCCTCAGCACCTCTGATACGCTCGAGCCCATTGCTGCAGTCACAGTATCGATCCACCTTCTCTTTCGCTGACACTTTACCTTTCCAAGCATGATAGCTCTTGCCAAGGAGTAGTCTCTCGTAACAACATGCTGAAAGTACGTGAGATGAAGCTTCTCCATCCTTGCCTTTAAGGAGCACACTGTTGTTTTGACAGACCATGGGATATTCAGTACTCTTCTCCAACACCATAGTTCACACACATAAATTCTCCTGTCATCCTTTTTCATTATCCAGCTCTTCGAGGTATAATAAGTTATTGAAAAGAGAAATTCCTGAATCAGGTGCATCTTAGCCTTTAAACGGACACCATTGCTCCTCAGTACTTTGTGGAGGTCCCTGACAGCAGACTTTCCCAATTCAACACATCTCTTGTTCTCTTAACTGCTGTTGCCAGCGGTGTTGATTGTGGATCCAAATAAGATGAAATTGTTGACAATTTGGATCTCTTCTCCATATTGTACAATGGCCCAGTGGTGAGCATTTTGTCTTCTTGATGTTGAGATGCAATCCATATTGAAGGCGATAGTTTTTGATCATTTGCAGTAAGCATTTCAAGTCTTCCTCACTTTCAGCAAGCAAGATTGTGTCATCTGAATAAGGAAGTTTGTTAATGAAGCTTCCTCTGATCTTGCTGCTACATTCCTCTTCATAAAGTCCAGCTTCTAAAATGATTTGCTGAGCTTACAGAATGAATAGGTTTGGAGAAAGGATACAGCCTTGATGCACACCTTTCTTAATTTTAAACCATGCAGTGTTCACTTGCTCTCTGTAGACAACAACCTCTTGATATAGGTATAGGTTTTGCATGAGCACAATTAAGTGTTCTGGGATTCACATTCTTCTCAATGTTAGCCATAATTTGTATGATCCACACAGTCAAATGCCTTTGCATAGCCAATAAAATACAAATAGACACTCTTCTGGTCAGACCCACCTGACATCTGCAATAATATCCTTGGTGCCATGGCCTTTTCCTAAACCCAGCCTAAGCCTCTGGTAGTTTTCTGTCAAAGTACTGCCCTAGCTGTTTTCAGATTATCTTGAGCAATATTTTTACTTGCATGTGATGTTAATGATACTGTTTGATAATTCTGACATTCTTTTGGATCACTAATCTTAGGAATGGGAAAAAATATGTATCTCTACCAGTCAGTTGGCTAGGTAGTTGCTGTCTCCCAAATTTCCTGGCACAGAC